CAATCTGATTTTAAGATTTTTATACTACAGTAATTAAGACAACATGTTATTGGTGCAGGGATAAACACACAGATCAATATAACCCAGAAATAGCTCCACACAAGTATAGCAAATTGATTTCCACATAGGCACACAAAATATTCAATGAAATGAGGATAATCTTTTCAATAAATACTGCTGGAGAAATTTTTTTTTTTAACATCTTTATTGGGGTATAATTGCTTTACAGTGGTGTGTTAGTTTCTGCTTTATAACAAAGTGAATCAGTTATACATATATATGTATATATGTTCCCATATCTCCTCCCTCTTGTGTCTCCCTCCCTCCCACCCTCCCCATCCCACCCCTCCAGGTGGTCACAAAGCACCGAGCTGATCTCCCTGTGCTATGCGGCTGCTTCCCACCAGCTATCTACCTTACGTTTGGTAGTGTATATATATATGTCTATGCCTCTCTCTCGCTTTGTCACCTGCTGGAGAAATTGAGTATTATAGGCAAAAAAAAAAAAAAAAAAAGGAACTTTATGCCAAAATTAGTTCTAAATGGATCTGAGAAGTGAATGTAAAATGTGAAACTATCACACTTGTAGAAGAAGATAACATAGTACAGAATCACCAAACAAGGGAGGGGAGGGGTAATGCATGTGTAAGGAGTAGAAATAATTTCATAGAAAGGTGTAATGGTTTCTAAGAAATACATCTAATGTAATCATGTAAATAGAGATTCCTCAAGTTTTAAAAAAAGACTTACAGTCATGAACAGGTTCAGTAGTCCCATTTCTATCCTGTGTATGTCCTAATATGCTTGGTAAATTTATTATTTTTATTTTTTTAATACATTTATTTATTTATTTTTGACTGCGTTGGGTCTTCATTGCTGCGTGTGGGCTTTCTCTAGTTGCGGCGAGTGGGGGCTACTCTTCGTTGCAGTGCACTGCTTCTCATTGCGGTGGCGTCTCTTGTTGTGGATCTTGGGCTCTAGGTGCGCGGGCTTCAGTAGTTGTGGCACATGGGCTCAGTAGTTGTGGCTCATGGGCTCTAGAGGGCGGGCTCAGTAGTTGTGGTACGTGGGCTTAGTTGCTCTGCTGCATGTGGGATCTTCCTGGACCAGGGTGCGAACCCGTGTCTCCTGCATTGGCAGGCGGATCCTTAACCACTGCGCCACCAGGGAAGTCCCATGCTTGGTAAATTTAAAAATATTGAATAGGAAGAGATTAGGGTTAAAATACAACTGAAATAAGGGTAATGAGATTTATCAGTTTTTTGAGGAGCTCCACAAACTAAATTGTGTAAAATGTCACACTGTTTCATTCATCCTGACTCTTGGTCACCATCAAAATTCAATCCAAAGAGCGTTTGAAGTGTTCCTACCATTTATTCACATCTATTTCATCATCAAGAGAAGCAGGGGCTGAGGATCCCTGGCCGGAGGAGGGAAAAGCTTCTGGAACCCTGCGGGCAGTGTCTGACAAGATTCCCAGTAGTCACTTCCCCCTGGTGGGTGGACTGGATCCAGTGACTCAATTCCAACCCCTAGAATATGGAGAAGAGATGGCATGTTATATCTCTGACTGGGATGGTATTCTCTCTCTAGTGCCTTCTAAGCCTTTATACTTTATGAAGCAAGTTGCCCTGTTGCTGAGGTCCACGTGGGAAGGAGCTGAGGGTGGCCTCTGTCCAGCAGCCAGCAAGAGAGCAAGGCCCTGGGCTCTATAGCCAGTGAGGACCAAGCCAGGTGAGTGGGAAGCAGCCTGCCCAGCCCAGCCTTGAGATGACTGAGGCCCTTGACTGCAGCCTGTGACAGACCCTGAGGCACCCAGCTGAGCTGTGCCCAGATTCCCCACCCACGGGAGCCATGAGATCATAACTGTGCTGTTTCAATTCACTAAGTTTTGGAATAATTCACCACGCAGCAATGGACAACCAACACAGATCTTAAGACTTTTATGTAATACAACTGAAAAGTACATCTAAGGTCAAGTGGCCAAATGCAATCTATATAACAGAATCATGTCTGTCCAGTTCCACCTGTGCACCCACTGCTTTCTCCCAGCCCTTCCCATCCTAGGGTGACAACCTATGTGGCTGGTGGTATGTGTATCCTATGGATCCTTGATGTATTTGCCCTGTCCCCAAATGTGCTCCCTACAATGACACAGAGTCCCTTCCCCTTGGATCTGGAGGGCCTGTGGCTACAGTGATGCTATTGGATTTCCTTGGCTGGGTCCTACGAGGTGATACAGGACACAGCCTTTGCCTTGGGGAGCTCAGCAAGGACCCGGTCACCACACTGGGAGGAAGTTAAGCAGCCACGTGCTCCGGCCTCAGCCCCATTCGGGCTGCTCTGACTACCACACATGGGACACAGCAGGACTTCAGGGGTTCTAGCTCGGCCTCTGAGCCCCCGGCTGATGCTAGGTGGTACAGAGACCCTGTGGGCAAATGAAATGTCATTATTGTTTTAATCAGCCAAGTTTTCGGGTGGTTCGTTATGCAGCAACGGATGCACTCCCAAGACTCTGCGAGTGTGCACTGGAGCTCTGGCACGTTTCAGACACTATGCAGTGGCAAGCAGTGAAAAGAGCGAACATAAGCTATTTTGCTGAAGCATTGGGACATGATCTATCATTTAACCATGGTAATTAAGGGAGTGGCAGGGACGATGGGAGAACAAGATTGCTCAGAGAAGGGGCATCTCATATGATGAAATTCAAGGTAACAGATCTGGGGGAAACATAACAAAATCTACCTTTCAGGTAACAAATGGCAGGTGGTGACGGGGAGACTCAAAGTGACAACAAACTCTTTTCGAAGGAATCTGCAGCACAGTATTTATTCACACACTGTCACTGAGCACCACGCCAGGTACTGCAACACAAGAGTGAACGGATGAAACTGATTTCTGCAGTCCCCGACATGTCACTCTTGTGGGACCAGACACAGAGCAAATATTTTGACAAGTAAATACAGGTATCCCCGCTTTTCAAAAGGTCGATTTATACCACTTCACTTTTGTGAAAGATCCATATTAGTACCTGATTTTGCTACCCAAAAGAAATCCCAAGGGGATGTTTGCTTTTACAAAAAAAAAAAAGGCAAAAGTGAAAAACAGCGCTGGCTTTGCAAGCAGCTGTCACAGAGGCAGCTTGCACCCTGAAGAGAGGCAAGAGTGACTCCACCAAACTCCTTCTGTGGAACCGCACTCAGCCTCTCAGCATCAAGCCGCCACAGCCTTGAGCTGTGTGAGCATCTGTGTTTATCTCGATTTATTTTGTTAGCAAGATGTGTCCTAAGGTAATTGCTTCTTCGCTTTATGCCATTCCAGCTTATGAAAGGTTTCATAGGAACACTCTACTTTCGGATAGTTGAGAAATCTGTAATTAAATTCAAATTTTGAATTTGTTAAGAACGGAAAAAACTGGGGTTTGGATCATTTGGAGCCGGGAAGGCTTCCATGAGGGAGTGAAACTGATGTAGAAGCTGGAGGGAGGGGACCCTCACCGCCCTGGTCACAGCCCTTCTTCCCTCCCTCCCTCCCTCCTCCCCTCCCAAGGCTCTGTCTGTATACCAGTGCCTGCCATCTGGCTTGTCTTCAAACGGGTTGTGGTGTGCCTGCTTCAAGATGCAGAAACCCACATTCAGAGAGATTTTGTAACTATCCTAGCCAGGGCTCTTGATTGCAGGCAAAAGAAACAGGCTGGCTGTTTTAGGCAGGAAAGGGATTTATTTCAAAGATATGGGGAACTCACAGAATCACCAGGAGGACCAGAGAACCGGGTTTAGCAGAGGGGCTGGGATGAGGGAGGCCGGGCACCAGGACCACAGTAGGGCACACCGTGGAGCAGCAGATCCGCTGCTGCTGCTGCTGTCCCTGAACCTGGATGCCGCAGCGTGCCCACATGGGCACTGGGTCCTACGCAGCGTCCTGCTCTCTCCAGAAGCTGAGTCATCCTCCACGAGAACTGGCCTGTGATCGCCAGCTCAAATCCCAAGGGAGCGCTTAGGGTGCTGATTGGCGGAGGCAGTGATCTCCAGATCTCCAATTCTGCATCTGGAGGGCACTCGGCCACTCAACCGGCCTCAGAAATGGGGTTTAGCTGCTACTGGGCATCTCCAAACAGCACCTTTCCACTCCAGGTAAGTCCACAGCTGGCAGAGGCGGGCGCCAGATGGGCGTGGCTCCAGGCCCACACTCTTTCTGGTGCCCTATGGGAAACCTTGGTGGGAATGAGCTCTGCGGTTATGTGCCCACAATGCATATATTTGAATGCAAAATTAGCTTACTTTTCAAATTAAAAAGGCTTTCAAAACACCATAGTTATCTATTGACTAAGTGGTTAGAAAAGCGCTCCTGCACTGTGAGAGCAAAGAACTGGTCTAACATTTCTGGAGGGCAGTTTGGCAATATGTATCCAAAAGCCTTGAAAATACAGTGCTTGACTTAATGGTTTCATGCCTGGGAATATAGCCTAACGAAATAATTAGGGATGAGGACAGATTACATTAATAATATATGATCCAATATCTACGTGTTGAAAAGGAATCTGTTAGAATTCATACACCTGGTGGAAAACCCAGTCCAGTTAGCAAGGAGACTGGGCTGTGCTCAGCACCGGCCCAGTGCAGGGCCCCTACGGAGTGATCAGGATCTGCTTCTATGTTTACAACCCTCAGTGTCACTTCTCGTGTTTTGATTCTGATCCAAGGCAGGATTTCTCTGGTTGAGAGCAGTTCCGAGGGTTCAAAGGTAGCAAGCAAAGAGGGCAAATCCATAAGCCTGCGTTCTAAGAGAAAAGGCCCCTCGGAGGCCCTCTCTGATTGGATGGGCCAGGTCACATGACCACTCGGGAGAAGTGGTCCTCCTCCCGCCGGGCTGGGCCTTTGGTTCTACCTCTAGCCTTAGGGAGCCCCACCTACCCATGGACCCCGTGAGCAAGCGGACACCTCCTACTAAAAATTAGGACTACTGTGGGAGAAAGAAAGAATTCTGGGGATCGAATTTCAACCTGAAAAGAAAGGGAGAAAATACACAGGTATTTATGGCAGTAACCTCTTGATGTGAGCTTGGTTGACTTTTGTTTTATATTTTTCAGTATAATCAGAAAAATAAATAAACTTTTTAAAAATCACAGAAAATCAGCAAAGGTAGTGGTGTGGTGGACCTGGTGGCTGTCTTCCTATAACTCTGCCCCTCTCCACCTGGGGGGCCCCGTATCCTGCTCTCCCAGGCCAGGGTCTAGCCTCACACGGTGTTCCCTTGCCCAGTGGCCTGTGCAGTCGCTGTCAGCATCAGGACTTGAGTTTGGTGGCTGCAGGAGGGGCTATACTGAGGCCCTGCATGCCGGTGGCCCTCTTAGGACCAGGAAGGAAGCCAGCCCGAGGTCACAGCCGGCCCAGGGAGGGGTCGGGGGGGAGGGGGAGAGAGCAGAGAAGTAAAGATGAGGGGCCCTGCTTTAACTGCGGAAACCCCTTCCTCCCATAGACCTTTCCACTACAAGAGACTATGAATCCTTTGTTTCCACCAGTTCGAATTACATTTTCTCTTAACTGAAACTGATACAAATACTCATTTATTTTGGGTCTGCAATCATCTCTACTGTATGTGAGTACGAGATTGGCCCGACATTTATTTATTTATTAAATACTAATTAATTAATTAGATTGTGCCAGGTCTTAGTTGCAGTATGTGGACTCTTAGTGGTGTAATGCAGGATCTAGTTCCCTGACCAGGGGTCACCAAGGAAGTTCCTGGCCTGACATTTAAAGCGAGAAGTGGGGGCTTCCCTGGTGGCGCAGTGGTTGAGAATCTGCCTGCTAATTCAGGGGACACGGGTTCGAGCCCTGGTCTGGGAAGATCCCACATGCCGCAGAGCAACTAGACCCGTGAGCCACAACTACTGAGCCTGCGCGTCTGGAGCCTGTGCTCCGCAACAAGAGAGGCTGCGATAGTGAGAGGCCCGCACACCGCGATGAAGAGTGGCCCCCGCTTGCCACAACTAGAGAAAGCCCTCGCACAGAAACGAAGACCCAACACAGCCAAAAGAATAAATAAATAAACAAATGTGGGGTTTAGAAAAAAAAAAAAAAAAAGGAAAAGAATTAAAAAAAAAAAAGTGAGAAGAGGGAAACCTTTGCTGGCCTTGAGACTTTATGGGCACTGTGGAAGAAGGGAAGGGTGGGGTCTGACTTCTCCAGGATGGTCTCCAGCTGCCTACAAGGGGCCCATTGGGAAAGGCAGCCCAGCCAGGATTGGAGTGAGCAATGGACTGGAGTCAGCACCCACGGGTCCGGTTAGTGACTGTATAAAAACAAATGTCTACATACAGGGGAGGAAAAAGAAAAGAAAAAAAGCAAGTGGTTAGAATTAGTATTAAACGGCAATAGAATGTTGTAACCACTGCCCACAGACATGGACTCAGCTTCCTTGACACTGAATATAGCTGCCTGATGCTGTTCTGTGTGAGCAGAAGCTTCCCTCTCCACCTCCCTCCCCGCAGCAGTCATCTCTATCTGGCCCCCAGGCAGATCTGCTCCTTCAAGCGGGCTGGGTGCGACTGAGTGGGCATGATGGGGTCTAGTGGCCCCGATAGTTCTGGTCCTAAAGCTGCTGCCACTGCCCTGGGGACTCTCGAGTCTAGCCACTAGGTTAGAGCCCGGCCATAACAGGGCAGGGGGCTTCCTGGGGACATCAGGTATCAAGGGAATCTGTCACCCCCTTCTGTGGTCTCCTTGCCTGGGCATTGCTGAAAATTAATGCCTTCACTGCTAGGCTCTTTCATGGACACATTAAACCTGACCCACTTGTGTCCAGGGTCTGTGATGTTAGGACCCTGCTGGGATGAGCTGTCAGCCCTGGGCACCAGAGGCAGCTGGTGAAGATGCTGGGTGGCGGTTATGGGATGTGGTATGGAGCTGTGGAAAGTGGCCTGGGCAGGATGGAAATGAGTCAGAGCTTGTCTCCCCTGCTTTTTAGCTGTGTGACCTTGGACATGCACTTAACCCCTCCGAATCTCACTCCACTCATCTGTATAGTGGAGCTTTGAATCCCGGTCTTGCAGGGATGCTGTGAGGACCAATGGGAGAGTGAATGGCGTCAGTGCACAGTTTATAGGTGCTCAAATCATGGGGACTGTTAATATGACTGTGATTATATACCAAGTGTCAAGGAACCTCCTTTTCCATCCTTTGCAGAGAGTGTTTCTCAGCCCAGAAAATTTCTTGATGCTTCTTCTTTGCAAAAAGAGCGGCAACGAGCCGTCCTCCCTGGGCCGCTGCCTTGCTGGGGCAGCAGGAAGCTGCTGCGATGCAGCAGGAAGCTGCTGCGATGCAGCAGGTGTGGGAGGTGCAGTCCTTTCACGGAGAGAACAGTGTGCAGAGGGAAGCTTGGGCAAGTGCATCAGCAGAGGCTGAGGGTTTCTGCAAAAGGACCTCAGACCAGCCCAGGCTGAGCAGGCACATCTTGGACCCGTGGGAATTGGATGACACAAGTGGCAAATCCTGACTGTGACAGACAGAGGCAGTCCCCTCAGTCCCACTGGCTAAGGGCTGTCATGGTGCTTAATGGAGAGAATGAATGCGTTTAAACCCAATACAGGACTCGGGCTGAAACTGCACAACTCAGATTGGGACTTACACCCACTGTCTTTTTTTTTTTTTTTTTTTAACATCTTTATTGGAGTATAATTGCTTTACAATGGTGTGTCAGTTTCTGCTTTATAACAAAGCGAATCAGTTATACGTATACATATGTTCCCATATCTCTTCCCTCTTGCGTCTCCCTCCCTCCCACCCTCCCTATCCCACCCCTCTAGGTGGTCACAAAGCACTGAGCTGATCTCCCTGTGCTGTGCGGCTGCTTCCCACTAGCTATCTACCTTACGTTTGGTAGTGTATAGATGTCCATGCCTCTCTCTCGCTTTGTCACAGCTTACCCTTCCCCCTCCCCATTGTCTTTTAATTGAGACCTCACACTTGGTCTCAGGACTTAATGAAGCTCAGGTTCTTGATGTCTCATCTTAGAAAGAATTCAGTGAGAGACAAAGCGATATGTAAGAAGTGGATTTATTTAGAGAGATACACGTTCCATAGAGAGAATGTGGGCCATCTCAAATGGCGAGAGTGACCTTGGGAGAAACACATTCCACAGATAGACGGTGGGCCATCTCAGAAGGCGAGAGGCCCTGAAATATGGGGTGGTTAGTTTTTATGGGCTGGGTAATTTCATAGGCTAATGAGTGGGAGGAGTATTCCAACTATTTTGGAGAAGGGGTGGAGATTTTCAGGAGCTGGACCACCACCCACTTTTTGGCCTTTTATGGTGGGCATCAGAACTGTCATGGCTCCTGTGGGTGTGTCATTTAGCTAATGTATTATAATAAGTGTAGAGCGAGGCTCAAGGTCCACTGGAAGTTGAATCTTCCGCCTCCCTCCCTCCTCCCTCCCTCCTTCCTGCCTTCCTTCCTTCCCTCCCTTCTCCATTGTTTCTTTCTTTCTTTCTCTCTCTCTCCCTTCATTCATCAGTTCCTTCCTTCCTCCCTTCCTTCCTTCCTTATTTTCTTCTTTATTTCTTTCCTTCCATTTCACAAATATTGAATGCCTACTATATTCCAGACAGGCACCATTCTAGGCTCTGAGGATGTAACAATGAACAATATTCTCTTAATAGCAATGAGAAAGCCCTATTTGTCTCCAGCAGAAGGAATTTAGGCTCCACCAAGGGTGTTGGTAGCATCCTCATCTCACACCTCGGATCCATGCCCTGCCCAGGCTGCCTCCTCAGAGAGTGGATTCTGTTTGCATATTCCCACCTTGCATATCCCTGCCTTGGAATATCTGTTCCCTCTGACCCTTCCAGGCGTTTGCCCCTCCAGGTTTCTTCTGCTGCCAGGAACTTGTTTTACCCTCTTTAGAAGGTTGAAGACTATAGAATGTGTCCTCTGATTCTTAGAATGAATCCTCTGTCACGTCCTACCTCCTTCCCTCCCCCCGACCCCCAAGAGAGGGGCACACAGGTTATCGGGTAAGGCATCATTTACCTCTTGGAATGTACATGTGCCCTGGAGCCCCACAGCTCCAGTTCCCCTTTTCCTGTGGCCAGATGCATCCCAGGAACTCAGGCCCTGCTCCATGCAGGTGTGTGGCCCCTTTCCCTGCAAGGGTATTAGAACACTGCTCTCTAAGAGGCGGCCTTGTGTTCCTGTGCGCAGGTCATCTTCACTCAGGTTCAGCATTGCTGCTGGGCTCCAAGCCCATTTCTGACCCATGTTTAAGCTTGTCTATGTGTGTTCATTTTTGTTCATCATTTCTTATGTGTTTGGAGGAAGTGATGGGTGTACAGTCGTGGAGAGTGAATTTCAGCTTCAGTCCCCGTTTTACCGGGAATCTCCAGGACCACCTTTTAGTTCACTTTTCTGCACCTTTCTCCTTCCAGGCATCTGGCACTTTCTTACTGCCTGCGGAGAACATTTTCATATTATTAAACAGATATGCCCTGAAGTCTGAGACGGGAAATCCCGAGGACGCTTACTTCTGCCCAGATCTGTCTACTACAGCAGGCAGGGTGCTTGCTCTGGGCAGGCATCTGGAGACCCAGACTCTTCACAGCCTGTGACACGATCCCCAGGGGCTTGGTACCCACCCCATCCCATCCCTAGTGACTTTCTTGGGAGTCCAGTGGTGACATCTCTAATAATAATGCAAACTCTTATTTCACAACTCTTATTTTTAACTTATTTTTATGCGTTCTGAGAAAATAAAATAAACCCCCCAGAAGAGGACACGTCTATAGGCCTAGAGGCTCATCCTTTTTCCTTCTGAATGCTCAGCAGGGAGCTGACCCAACAGCTGTGTCGTGGTTAACTTTGTGTCAGCTTGGCTGTGCCATATAGCCAGATGTTTGGTTTAACATGTCTAGATGTGGCTGTGAGGGTGTTTTTTAGATGATATTAACATTTAAATTGGTGGACTTTGAGTGAAACAGATGGCTCTCTGTACGTAGTGTGGGTGGGCCTCATCCAATCAGTTGAAGCCCTTAACGGCAAAAAGACAGACCTTCCTTGAGTAAGAAGGTGTTCTTTCGGTGCACCGCCTTCAGACTCAAACTGCAACATCGACCCTTCAGCTGGTCTCCAGCCTGCCTGCCTACCCCAGCAGAGTTTGGACTTGCCAGCCTCCACAATGCCACAACTGCACCACCAGGGAAGCCCCATTTCTCCCTCTTACATTGTCCCATAGCCAATTCCCACCCACTGGACCCCACAAGGATAGAGGACAGCACAGGGGGAGGATCCCTCTTCACTAGGACATTGGCCATGGAGCACGCAGACCACTCATGATAACCTCTATCTTACAGCTGCCCTGTGTGGCCCCCTCCGTGTGTGTCCTGGCCCCTTGGCATGAGTTATGATGAGTTTCTGGCTGATAATGACAATATTCAGTATCTATGATATATGGGTTACTTTTATGCTTGTTCTTTCATTTCATCATCACAACCACCCTGCAGTTTGTCTCTTTTTCATTGTTTCTCAGATGAGCAAACTGATCCTCAAAGAAGTGAGGCAGCTTCTCAAAGACTGCACAACCATCCTATGGGATAAGAGGGACTCAGGCCAAGAGTCTTCTTGCCTCACTCTGACTTCCATGATCTTTGCTGGTGGCTCGAGGCCTTTGTGTTAGGAGCATTGTAATAGCAGACTCAGCTTTAAGTCAAAGGAAAGGTAAGCCTTTTATGGTGGGAAGGAGCAGGGCTGGGTGATGGGGAGAGTCTGAACACCAGGTTCTTGGCTCCGGGAAATCTCATTTCCTAGGTAAGCACCCCTGAACTTATATGTGTTAGCAGTTCTATCCTGCTGATGTGCTAATACTGGGAAACTTTGTTTAATTCTGGAAAATAACTGAGAGGGAAGGGGAGACTTTGCTTCTTTCTTGCAGGGGTGGGGATTTTGGTCCTTTTTTCTCTCAATAAATTACTTTTATAATAGTTTTAGATTTACAGATAAGTCACAAAGGTAGCACATGGAGTTCCCATATGCACCACACCCAGTTTCGCCTACTACTAAGATCTTACTTTAGTGTGGTATCTTTTTCACCAATATCAATATATTAATATTAAATGAAGCCCACATTTTAATCTTTTTGGTTTTTACCTAAAGTCCTTTTTCTGTTCCAGGATCCCATCCAGGATCTCAAGCTCCGTTTAGTCATTATGTCTCTTTAGCCTCATCTTGGCTATGACAGTTTCTCAGACTTGCCCTGGCTTTGATGACTTCGGCACTGTTGAGGCACAACAGTCAGATATTTTGTAGAAAGTCCCTCAGTTGGTACTTGTCTGAGCCTTTTCTCATGATTAGATTGGAGTTGCGGGTTTCTGGGAGGAAGATCACAGAGAGAGAGGAAGATCGCATTCTCATCACATCATATCAAGAATAGATACTGTCGGGCTTCCCTGGTGGTGCAGCGGTTGAGAGTCCGCCTGCCGATGCAGGGGACACGGGTCTGTGCCCCGGTCTGGGAAGATCCCACATGCCCGCGGAGCGGCTGGGCCCGTGAGCCATGGCCGCTGAGCCTGCGTGTCCGGAGCCTGTGCTCTGCAACGGGAGAGGCCACAACAGTAAGAGGACTGCGTACCGCAAAAAAAAAAAAAAAAAAGAATAGATACTGTCAACATAATGTATCACTGTAGATGTTGACCTCGATCACCTGGCTGAGATCATGTTTGTCAGGTTTCTCCAGGGTAAAGTCACTCTTTTCTCTCCCCTCCTTTTTCCTATATTTTTGCAAGGAAGTCACTATGCACAGCCCACATTTACAGAGTGGGGTTATGCCCCATGTCCTTGAGGGTGGAGTATCCCCATGGATCATTTGGAATTCTGCAAGGAAATTTATCTATTCTCCCCCATTTATTTATTTAAGCATTTATTTATATGAGTATGGACTCATGGATATTTATTTGACACTTTGGGTTATAATCCAATACTTCTTTTTAAATGTTTTTTGCTCAAATTGTTCCAGCTTTGACCATTAGGAGCTCTTTCAGTTGGCTCCTGTGATAGACCCCATCATTGTTTGTGTGTGCTTGTGTATTGTGTGTCTTAGCACCGTATTACTTTCTGGCACTATATGGTTCTCTAGGTTCATATTGTAAATTTTCTTCCCTAGGTCTAGGATTATTCACTTCTTCAAGGAGCTCTGGTTCTTTTTCTTGGAGAATGGTATTAGAAACCAAGATCTGGTGCTAGGTGTGCTCATTGCTCCTGAGCTGTTATTATATTTAGGGCTTCTCAGCTGACAGAGCAAGAAAATATCTGTGTGTATGCTAACTCTTATATATATACTTATCTATATGTTTTCTATATGTATCTAGCTATATGTTAAGATAGTTATGAGTTCATATTATGAATGTCTCCAACTTAAACACATTATCATATGAATCATTGTAGTCCTCTCCCCTCGCTCCTCCATAATCTCTGACTCCAAAAGTGAGAAACCTGGCTCCAGCCGTTCACCATCCACTTATTTAATTTCAATGAAACAGTTTCATTAGCTAGAGTACAATGCTTCTGAACAGTTGCTTTTGCCTTTGATCTTACTGTGAGCGACTGTACTCATTTCCAAAGTTACTTAGGTCAACACCTTTTTTACCTTCAGCAGGAGGAAACCACTTTCATGAGGTAGTTTCATACAATTGGATTCTTTCATCACATAATGCATCCTGTCATGTGCCCTGACCTCCTAAGTAATTTTTTTTTTAATTTGCAATCATTAAAGTTTACTTTTCATATTGAAAAATTCCATGGGTTTTGACGAATGCATAGTGTCATGTATTCACCATCACATTATACAGAATAGTTTCACAGCTCCAAAAATCTCTTGTTCCTTACCCCTGCTGAACTCCTAGCAAACACTTATCTGTTTATAGCCTTGTCTATATAGTTTTGCCTTCTCCAGAATGTTATATAAATGTAAACATACAGAATGTGCCATTTTCAGATTGGCTGTTTTTACTTAGCAATATGCATTTAAGATTCACTCATTTTTTTTAACATCTTTATTGGAGTATAATTGCTTTACAATGGTGTGTTAGTTTCTGCTTTATAACAAAGTGAATCAGTTATACATATACATATGTCCCCATATCTCTTCCCTCTTACATCTCCCTCCCTCCCACCCTCCCTATCCCACCCCTCTAGGTGGTCACAAAGCACCGAGCTGATCTCCCTGTGCTATGTGGCTCTTCCCACTAGCTATCGGTTTTACATTTGGTAGTGTATATATGTCCATGCCACTCTCTCACTTCGTCCCGGCTTACCCTTCCCCCTCCCTGTGTCCTCAAGTCCATTCTCTAGTAGGTCTGTGTCTTTATTCCCATATGCTAACACATATATATGGAATCTTAAAAAAAAAATGGTCATGAAGAACCTAGGGGCAAGATAGGAATAAAGTCACTCATGTCTTTATGTGACTTGACAGTTTATTGTTTTTCAGTGCTCAGTAATGATGTACCCACTCTTTTTCACCCATTCATTTATTGAAGGACATTTTGGTTTCTTCGAGTTTTTGGAGATTATGAAAAGCTCTTATAAATATCCACATGCAGGTTTTTGTGTGGACATAAGTTTTCAAATCAGTTGGGTAAATATCTAGGAATGAGATTGCTGGATCCTATGGTAAGATTATGTTTAGTTTTGTAAGAAAGTGACAAACTGTCTTCCAAAGTAGCTGGGCCATTTTGCATCCCCAGCAGCAATGAAATGAGAGTTCCTATTGCTCTACATCTTCACCAGCAATTGGTATTCTTGGTTTTTTGATTTTGGCTATTCTAGCAGGTATGCAGTGATACCTCATTGTTGTTTTGATGTGCATTTCCCTTATGATAAATGACTTTGAGCACCTTTTTACATACTTATCATCTGTACACCTTTTTATGAGATGTCTGCTCAGATATTTTGTCTATTAATTGGGTTGTTTGCTTTCTTATTGTTAAGTTTTAAGAGTTCATGTACATTGTGATACAAGTCCTTTATTATATGTGCCTTGCAAAATTTTCTCCCAGTCTTTGGCTTGTGTTTTCATTCTCTTAAGTGTTTTCACAAAGCAAAGTTTTTAATTTTAATGAAGTCCGGCTTATCATTTTTTTTCTTTCATGGATCATGTAAGATGTTATATCAAAAACTTCTCACTAAGCCCAATGTCATGTTGACTCTCTCTTGTATTTTTTTCTAGAAGTTTTATATGTTTTCATTTACAATTATGTCTGTGATCCATTTTTAATTTCTCTTTGTGTAAGTGTAAGGTCTTTGTCTAGGTTCATTTTTTTGTATATGGACATCTAATTTTTTAGCAATACTTTTTAAAAGACTATCTTCTGTCTATGGCATTGCCTTTGTGCCTTTGTTAAAAATAAGTTGACTATATTTGTGTGGGTCTTTTTTGGGCTCTTTATTCTGTTCCATTGATCTATGTATTTCTTTTACCAATACTGCACCGTCTTGATTACCTTAGCTTTATTGTGTATCTTGACATCAGGTAGTGTGAGTCCTCCAATTTGATCTTCTTCAGTATTGTGTTGTATATTCCAGGTCTTTTGGTTTTCTATATAAGTTTTAGAATTAGTTTGTAGATATCTACAAATAGTTACTGGTATTATATGGAATCTATATATAAAGTTGGGAAGAACTGACATCTTATCAGCATTGAGCCTTCCAATCATTAAACATGGAATATCCATTTATTTATATCTTTTTATACTTCTTTCATCAGTGTTTATAGTTTTCCCTATACAGAGTCTGTGCATATTTATATCTAAGTATTTTATTTCTTGGTGCTGTTTTAAATGGTAAACTTTTTTTCAAATTTCATTTGTTCATTGCTGGTTCGTAGGAAAACAATGGATTTTTTGTATATTGACCTTATATTTTGTGACCTCGCTATACTGACTTACTAGTTCCAGTAATATTTTTGTAGATTCTTTGGGGATTTCTATGTTGATAGTGATGTCATTTGTGAATAAAGATGTTTTTACCTCTTCCTTTTCAATCTGTATGCCTCTCCTTCCTCCCTCCTTCCTTCCCTCCCTTCTTTCTTTTCTTTCCTTCTCTTTCTCCTCCTCCTCCTTCTCTTCCTTAGTCTTATTGCACTAGCTAGGATTTTTAGTGTGAAGTTGAATAGGATTGGTGAGATTTTTAAAAATATTTATTTATTTATGTATTTGGCTGCATCAGTTCTTAGTGGCAGCATGCAGGATCTTTGTTGCAGAGTGTGGGCTCTCCAGTTGTGGCGCACGGGCTCCAGAGTGTGCGGACTTAGTTGCCCTGCCGCATGTGGGATCTTAGTTCCCTGACCAGGGATCGAACCTGCGTCCCCTGCATTGGAAAGTGGATTCTTAACCACTGGACCACCAGGGAAGTCCCTGTTCTTAATCTTAAGAAAGCATCTAGTTCCTCACCATTACCTATGATGTTGGCTGTAGTTCTGTTTTTGTGGATGTTCTTTATCATGTTAAGGAAGTTCCTTCTATTTCTAGTTTTCTTATAGTTATTTTTTTTATATCATTCATGAGTGTTGGCTTTTGTCTATTGCTGTGTCATTTGATATGATCATATTATTTTTCTTCTTTAGACAGTGATGTGCTAGATTACGTTAATTGACTTTTGAATGTTCAACCAGCCTTGCAAAGCTGAAATAAATCTCACTTGGTTATGGCATACAAACTTTATACATGATTGCATTGATTTGCTAATATTTTGTGGAGGATATTTAAGTTTATTTTCAAATAAATGAGAGATGTAGTTTGTAGTTTTCTTTTCTTGTAGTCATCTGATTTTGTTATTAGGGTAGTGCTGGCCTCATAGATGACCAAGGAAGTGTTTCCATTGCTTCTATACCTGGAATTATTATTACTGCCTAAATGTTGGCAGAATTAACCAGTGAAAACATCTGGACTTGCTGCTTTTTTTTTTTTGAAGGTTTTAAATAGTTGATTCAAATCATAATAGATATAGGGTTATTCAGGTCATCTATTCTCAAGTGAGCCTGTGTCTTTGAAGGAATTAGAGTATTGCTTTGGTACACACTTTAGCTTTTTCTCCCCTGCACCCTACTCCTTTCATTGGATGCAACATTTACAGTTTATATTCTTGAAATCCTTACTCCTGCAGGCTGTGTTCCCCAACCCCCTTAGATGATAC